ATGTTTAAACTATTTTGAAAACAAATTGTAATAACTGAATGGTTTTAAATGATTTAAAAAGTTTTAAATTGGCCTGAATTTTATGGATGAGACAGTGGTGGTGGTGGAGCCATCGTCGACGATGATAGTGGCGAAATCAGATCTAAAGATATCGAACAAAAAATATCAGATCTGGTCAAGTTAGAGTGATGTCGGTGGTAGGAATATCTCAGATCTGGAAGCTACAGTTATGGATCTGGTGCGCCGAATGGTTACAAAGTTGGTGCGACGAGCGGAGGTGGACGACTACAGATTTGGAGCGACGAGCTGCGGCGGAGAGTGGCGGTGAACAGGTTGTGTGAAGCGGGTGAAGACAACTCTACAAACGGCGATGACTATGACGTTTGTGGTGGTTTTTAGTAGGGATTATCGTGGTGGTTTCAGATCTGATAACCGTTCATGACGAAGCAATGGTGGTCAGAAAAATGGTGATGGAGGTTGTTGGTTTTTGTGTTTGAGAGAGAGAATATGAGATAGTTTCTTAAAATATCAGAGAATTAGAAAGTTTGTAGGGTAATATTCTTAGGGGTGTTCATTAGGATGGATCAGTTTGATCTGATCCAATCAAGTGAATCCAAATTGATTTCGGTTTTCAAAACATGGATCCGAATAATCCAAACTAAATTCAAATCCGATCCGATCCGATCCAATTACAATTCGGTTGGATCGGTTTTTATAATTCGGTTTTCAAAAACCAAAACATTTTAAAACGATATATAATTATAATATTACCCAATTTTACACAAAGAAGTGAAAACAAGTTATTTGGTTGTGATTTGAAATTTATAAACAACTACTAAGAAGGTATATACTATAGTTAAATATTTTATAGATAGAAAACTTTTGAGAGAAAATGCATATTAATGTTTTTTTATCGGGTGAAATGTTTTGAACCTATTTTAAAGAATAAATTACAAAAATAATAAATAACTAAAGATATATATTAAAAATAAATAAATAATAAATGTTTATTCGTTTTTTTTTTGGACTATTCGGTTCCTATTTTCTAAACCAAAACCAATCCGAAATCCAAAATAAAAATTCAGTTTTGTTGAAAACCAATCCAAAAATCCGAATATCCGAACCAAATAATCCAATCCAAATTGTCCAATTGGACAATTCGGTTTTACCCTAATGAACAGCCCTAAATACTTACATAAAAAATTTTATTGTTATGATGAAAATACCCTTAATGAAAATGGTTCTCAAATGGTTTATAACCTTTAATGGTTTTCATTTGATCATATATATATATATATATATATATATATATATATATATATATATATATATATATATAT